TCTTATAGGACACCTACTCCACAAAGCCACTCCACAAATTCCAGGAGACACAGCAGTTCTACCTAATACACAGAAACAAACACCTGGAAGCAGCCAAAATGGGGAAGCAAAGAAACATGTCACAAAGGAAAGAACAGAAGAAATCTCTAGAAGAAGAACTAAATGCAATAAATCCAAGCAAGCTAACAGATACGAAGTTCAGAATTTTGTTTATAAGGATGTTTAAGCATACTATTAGGGAAATAACTGAGAAAATTGATAACATAATAAAGTACCAATTTGAAATGAAGGCTACACGAACTGAAATGAAGAATAATTTACAGGGAATCAACAGTAGAGTAGAGGACGCTGAGAATCAAATCAGCAATTTGGAACATGAGGAAACAAAAAACACCCAACCAGAAGAGCCAAAAGAAAAAAGAATCCAGAAATATGAAAATAGTGTCTCTGGGACAACTTTAAGAGGCCCAACATTCATCTTATTGGGGTGCCAGAAGGAGAAGAAAGAGCAAGAAATTGAAAACCTATTTGAAAAAATAATGACAGAAAGCTTCCCCTACCTGGAGAAAGAAATAGACTTACAAGTCCAGGAAACACAGAGGGTCCCAAACAAGAGAAACCCAAAGAGGCCCACAGCAAGACACATCATAATTAAAATGCCAAAGGTTAAAGACAAAGAGAGAATCTTAAAAGCAGCAAGAGAAAAGCAGTTAGTTACCTACAAGGGAGATCCCATACGACTGTCAGTGATTTCTCAACAGAAACTTTGCAGGCCAGAGGGAGTGGCAAGAAATATTCAAGGTGATGAAAAACATGGAATATAACCAAGATTGCTCTACCCAGCAAAGCTATCATTTAGAACTGAAGGTTAGATAAAGAACTTAACAGGTAAGAAAAAGCGAAAGGAGTTCATCGCCACCAAAGCAGTACTACAGGAAATGTTGAAGGGTCTTCTTTAAGAAGAAGCTAATGAACAAAAGAATCTGANGCAGCAAGAGAAAAGCAGTTAGTTACCTACAAGGGAGATCCCATACGACTGTCAGTGATTTCTCAACAGAAACTTTGCAGGCCAGAGGGAGTGGCAAGAAATATTCAAGGTGATGAAAAACATGGAATATAACCAAGATTGCTCTACCCAGCAAAGCTATCATTTAGAACTGAAGGTTAGATAAAGAACATAACAGGTAAGAAAAAGCGAAAGGAGTTCATCGCCACCAAAGCAGTACTACAGGAAATGTTGAAGGGTCTTCTTTAAGAAGAAGCTAATGAACAAAGGAATCTGATGAACTAAATAGATCCAGAGACATTGACGCAGGCAACAGATGATCATATTTCAGAGGAAAGAGGGAAGGGGGGTGGAGGGTGGGAAGAGATTAACCAAAGAAGTTATATGCATATATGCATAACCCATGGACACAGTCAATAACGGGGTGAAGGCCTGGGGAGGGGGTGGGAGTGAGGTGGAGGGGGTCAATTGGGGGAGAAAATGGGACACCTGTAATACTCTCAACAGTAAAGATAAATTTAAAAAAGAAAAGAAAGGTAATTCCAAATTCAGAAACCTCACAAAACCACACCACAGGCACTTCGCTAGGTCAATGCACTTTATTATTTCTGTTGAACTAGAGAGTCACACGAATTCAACTTTGGAGCATTTTCTGTTTTTCTAGGTAGCAGTCCCTGCCTCTGTCATCCTTTCACTACAGGCATTCATCCTCCTAACACATTCAAAATGTGCTGTTACGTGACCTTTCGGAAACCACATCTCAAAGCACTGTCTTTGAACCTAGCCCACGTTGCCTGTGCATGGTGTTAGGAGACGAGAGGGAGGTGGATGATTAAAATGAGTGGATCAAAATTACCATTCTCAATTTTGACCTATACGAATCAGTATGGAGAGAGGTATATCCTGTCGCTCAAACCTCTTAGTTGATACTCTTCTAGGATGGTGGGAGGAAGACATCTTCCTAGTGGATGGCATTTTCTACTTTCTAGATATTTCCAAAATATCATTTACGTCATTAGGAATAATTTTTCCGATATCATCTTGCCATCCACAAGTAATAAGGGCATGTCCATGCTTCTCAACAGAGTTGTATACACAGCCTGTTATCACAGTTCCCGTTATTAACTTACAGTACACTCCTACTATTTCTTTGTTGACCCTGTGACATTTCTTAACTCCATTTTTACATGGTACATACATGTTGCTACAGGCACTTAGCACCTCGTTATATGTTGCTAGGAGGAAGAAATGTTCTTCCTTACACTGATACCCGATGTGCACATTTTTGACCATAGTTTCTAAACCACAGTAGGCAAAATCAATTTGCCTTCCAGGCCTAGCTATGAAATGCTTTTGGAAATCTTCTTCGGTAGGTGGTTTGGTAGGACCTGTAACATGTAGTTCGGCCAGATAATCTTCAAATTTTTCTTCCGTCTCCTCTGAGAATTCTGAATATTTAGGTAGCATTAGAACTTTCAATGGAAGTGGCTGCAGCAGCAGGAGAAGCAGAGGCAGGGACTGCATGGTGAGCAGAGAGCGCATATTTTCCTGTTGGGAATACAAGAGACATGGAGATACATTCTGCTGTGCTACTGTGCTCCTTCTATTCCTGTGCAGGCTCCATTTCCACAACCTGTTGCTTTTGTGAGCTCTAAGACTTTGAACCCTTTTAAAACAGACAACTCAGAATCTAAGTAACTCTGAAATATTCACTAAAACCTGATCTTACTAGACCTGTGTTCAGTCTAGAAGATTGTGGATTAGAAAGGGAAAGGTGGAGAAAAGAGGGAGAGAAAAGGAGAAAGGGAGAGAGATAAAAGTCAGGAGAGAAAGAAGGAAACAAGAAAGGAATGAAGGAGAGAGCAAGGGAGAGACAGAGGGCAGGAAGGAAGGAGAAAGGAGATCAAGACAGCAGTGGAGAGAGAGGGAGAGAGGTGGAAAGGAGGCTCCTATGCTCCCTCCAGCTGGGACAAATGCATTGGTTCCCTTTTCAGGAGTTAAGAACTTGTGCTGAAAAGAGCCATAAGTGACCCATCCTCCCCTCACTTACATCCTGCTGTTATGAGAAAAATTCTTCATCTTGTGACTTCCTCTTCTTGCTCACCTCTTACCAGAGAGGCCCTTGGAGAAGGTATCTGGAGGATCAAACGAATACCATACGCTGAGCTTCTTTGTGTGTCTGTTTTTACCACTGTCTCATGGCCTGGAATGGCTCAGTCCGTTTTGCAGCCTCCTCTGCATCCTCTTACCACTCAGAATAACTTTTCCACTAGGGTATATCACTTACTTTGTGTGTGTTTTTCTTCCTTTTTTTAAATCCTAGGCAAACTTCATGGTTTTTGCTATGATCAGGTTTTCGCATCCCTAAACTCCATTTTTGTGCTCCTATTTGCAATTACAGTAACCTCATCATCAGAGATTTCAGTCGTTACATTACTTCTTTCTCGGTATGTTTCCATGTCTATCCCCCCCACAGCAGGCTGCACTAATATTTCCCCAATACTTTACATACGTATGAGCAAGTGTCTTTGCTACACAAATGTGTAAAACTGGGTAATGATTTACATTTTCTAAAACAATTATATTACATTAAAAAGAAATAAAAATATTTAATTTGGTATACATTCATGAATTACATTATTATTATGCTTCCTGGTAATTATGTTAAATGTTAACTTTCTTTTTTTAAACTTTCCTTAAAAGAGCCTGAGCAGAAGTAGCATGTGCCTCAGGGATCATGCCCCACTGCTAGACATCAGAGCACAGTCTACTTTTTAGTGGAGAGTGTCATCTTTCATAGAGAACTCCTGGGCTTAGTAATCATTTTCCATTCCTATTCCAAATTTGACTGTTAATCATTAATCTTCCAGGGAAGCTTTCTTTTTTTTTCTTCTTTTTTTAAAAATTTTTATTATTATTTTTTAAAATAAATTTTTATTGATTTCAGAGAGAGGAAAGGAGAGGGAGAGAGAGAGATAGAAACATCAGTGATGAGAGAGTCATTGATCGGCTGCCTCCGGCACGCCCCTGACTGGAGATTGAGCCCGCAACCTGGGCGTGTGCCCTGACCGGGAATCAAACCCCGATCTCCTGGATCCTAGGTCGATGCTCAACTGCTGAGCCATGCCCGGCTGGGCCCAAGAAAGCTTTCTTCCCAAAGAAAGACAAGTACCTTTGCCCATGGACTCCTCATCTCTTTTAGTCCTTGTGTTGAGTATGCTTCAGAGAATGGGTGTTTCAAAGTTTGGGTTGGAGAGAGCTTGGCACTGGGGATATTGACTTTTCCTAAGAGTACAGGAGCTTGAGGTAGAAAGAGAGAAGAACAAGTGTGAGCTGCTGAGATAAATACATTCTTGGGGTCACCCTAAAATAAAAATAACAAATAATAATGGTGAACATAATGAGCTATTATGTGCCAAGCACTATGCTAAGAACTATACACAAACTATCATCATCCAATTAGCCTCATGATAAAGGTATGACTTTTAGCATTGTTTTTGTTTTTATTATAATTAGCATCTCTGTGAAAAGAGGCTGCTTACAAATCTTATGTTAGTCTGGCAGAATGCCGGTTCAAGCTCAGGTCACAGGTCTGTCGGATTTCTGCATTTCTGTTTCTAACTGCTCTTGTTCATCAGCCTAGTTTCCCTTCCTAAGGTAGACTGTACACCCGTTTCTGAGCTGTCTTTGTAACTCTATGATTACAGACGAACAGAAGCAGAGAGACCACCAAAGTAGCCAGTGCTAGGATTGTCTTGGAGCTCCTAGAGTGCAGTGATAAACCGGCCCACGCTCCATGAAGCCTCGCTGTGCTGTCACGGAAGGAATTTCCTGGGTTTTCCTATTCCACTGTGCCCTTGGTATAAAAGAAGTCTCCCCTTAAGGCAACCTGAAGGATTCTCCAGTACTGGTAACCCAGAGACTCCAACTTAGATGGAGATAGAGATGGAGAGCCTCTGAGCCCAGGTTAGATCCAAGTCTGTATGCAAGTGAGTAGAAAAGGTCAGAGAATGGTCGAGTTAAAGAAAGGTAGATGTTGGGAGCACATATCAGAAAGTGGAAAGAATAGGAAAATTCTTTTTCTGAGAATGGGACAGGAAAGGAGGAAGTGATCTAAAACATAGTGATGTGAGAGTGGGCACTCTCGGTGTGACCATGTTTGTCCCATCCCTGCCCCCACACTCTCGTTAGCCTCCCCCAGGGAATCTTTTCCCAAGAGTGATCCCATTATGACAGTCCAGGGAGCTTGGTACAAGCTCCATTAAGGAGAACCTGGAGCCTCTGTGACATTTTGGGTTGGAGAAAACAGGACAGCAGAGTTTAGGCTCCTGTGGCCCTTGTAATCTACTGAGGACATGCACTAGGACCTGTCAGGCCACCTCTTCATTTTGTATATCCTCAAAGTTCTTAATCCTTTATGAATTCAACTTGTGGTTTATGCTTGTCAAAAATCCTTTTTCACCTCAAAAGTATACACATTTTCACTTACACTCTATTTTATTACTTTTATGGATTTTTAAATTTGTCTTTCATCCATCTAAAATTTATTTTGAAGTATAGCGAGAAGTGTTTTCTTTCCATATGGTTTATACGTAATTCCAGCACCAATTATTTGGGGGAATAAAATCCATTCTTTCACCCTTAATTTAAAAGTTACCTTATAGATTTACAGATCAGTTTATTTCTGTGCTGGTAACAAGCATGGCACAGACATGGTTTCGGGTAAATAAATCTATTCTACAATAAGCAAAAAAAAAAAAAAAAAAATACCTTATATGTTAATAATTCTGTTTCTGAATGATCTATTGTGTTTTGAGAATAGATTTATCTATTCAAGTGCTGATAATATGGTTTTACTTATGACCATTTTATAAAACACTGTAATATCTAATGAAGAAATTACATTCATTCTTCTCATTCAAAAGTTTAGTGCTGAGACAGAACACAGAGACACAGTGCAGGAATGGGGATTAATTAAATAGAAGAGAGGGTAGAGAATGAAACAGAAAGAGAGAAATGGGGAGAGTGATGGAGAACATAGAATAGATAGTATTGAAACATGCTCATGCCAAGTTTCTTAAGTTTTTGCCTAGTAATCTCACACAGCAGAATCACCTAGTCCACCTGGCCTCCTTGGTTTTTCTTCAGACATCATTAATCAAAGTCTCTGTGAATAGGCCCAGAAATTTGCACTTTAAACAAAATCAAGAAGTGATTCTTAGCCCACTAAAGTTCGAGAAGCACTTTCTTAGTATACAAGGGTGGGGCAAAAGTAGGTTTACAGTTGTTTGTATGAAAAATAATACAATAATTAATAAATAATAATACAAGAATAAACTCTATATTTCATATACTCACAACAGTAAACCTACTTTTGCCCCACCCTGTACATAAAAATGTACTTTATGATAAAGAAAATATCCCAAAACAGTGGGGAGAGAAGCTTTTTCAGTGAATGATTTTAGAAAAAGATTGAGATGAATTGCTTTCACTTTTTGGTTTTTGTTAATAATGCTGCTTTGAATACAATTGTACAAATATCTGTTCAAGTCTTACTTTTTTTCTCTGCTTTTAAACTTGATTGGGCGGTTTAGAGCAGCTTAGATTTTTATAGGCAGGGGAAGGGCCTGAGGGAATTTCTCTGTCCGGGGTCTCTCTTCCTAAGATGCAGGTCCTGAGTCCCCCATTAGTGCTCTATATTTAACCACAATTAAAATAAAATAAAATAAAGATTGAAGTGAGTCATAAGCCCCTTGGGTAGACAAATACATATGTATTTCTGAGGGGTTATTAAGTGATTAAAAGTAAATGGCGTTTTAAAAAGAAAAAGCAGGATTTTTAACAGATCTTAAAGTGAGGCATCAATGGACAATAATTATACATAATAATTATATAGCCTCAATCACAAAAGGTAAAAAGGAAAATTGTATCTTTTGAATTGGCAATAATTATAATACCTTACAAAGGCAGTGCTGGCAAGAGTGTGGTGAGGTGGGCAATTGTGCATTTCTGACTAGAATAAAAAATTTGGCAAAAAGAATAAAAGCTTTAAAAAAGTGAAACTTTTACCCCAGTTTTAATTGCTAGAATTCTAAGCATGCAAATATGGATAGAAAATTTTTTTTAATAAAGACAAAATTTGAAATTTGAAAATATAAATGTTCAAAAATTATTGGAAAGTTTAAATTGAATCTGATGTCTATAGAAATGACAAAAACACAATAATCATCATTGCAACAAGAACTAATATTCAAGATAGCATTCTATAGTCATAAAGTTATATATTCTTAAAATAGATTATTTTCTAGAATTTACAAATATATTAATGAATTGAGTTTTAGAGATATGCAATATTTTTTTTAATATTATAGTAGGACTGTCTGGTTGCAAGTGACAGAAGTATCAATAAAATTTACTTAAACATAGGAGGAATTATTTGACTCACAGAAAACAGAAGTCCAAGAGGCACAGCAGGATGAGGAAATTAAATTCTTCACTAGACTCTTGTCTTCTTTCTCTCTTATTCTACCCTGCTTTCTAGA